GGGCTGTTTCTATGGCTTGACTATTGTGAATTGCACTGCAATAAACATAGGTGTGCAGCTATCTCTCAAGTATGTTGGATCGATAGTATCTATTCTACAAAGTTGTGTTTAGTTTTTGAGGAACTATTATACGTATTTCCATAGTGGCAGTACTGACAGAGTGGTTTAATCATTTATTGTTTTGCTATTCTTGATCATAACCATTATGACTGAGGCTAGATGGACTCTTAACATAATTTTGAGTTTTAGTTCTCTGATGGCTAAAGATGTTGAACATTTGTTTATATAATTGTTAATAATTTGTACTTTTGGAGAAGTATCTGTTCAGTTCTCTTGCCCACTTACTCATCCTTGTTGTTGTTGTTGTTTGAGGCTTGGTCTTGCTATACAGTTCAGGTTGGCTTTGCGCTCACTGTTTAGCCCAGACTGGCCTCATAGTCACAGTGCTCCTCCTGCCTCAGCCTCCTGAGTGCTTGGATTACAGGGTTGCTCCACCACACCTGGCCTGTTTTCTATCTTGGTATTAAGGTTTTAGAATATTTATATATTTGAAAATTAACCTTCTGTCAGAAAAGTAGCTGACTTAGGTTTTCTCCCAGGATTTCAGGGGCTGTTACTCTTTGCTCTGTTTTTTCCATTGTTGTACAGAAGCTTTTTAAATCAATGCAATCATATTTTCCAGTTGTTGCTATCAGTCCCTGAGCTGTTAGAGTCCCATTCAGGAAGTTTTTTGATGGTGGCCTCACTTGATTCAGCTCAGCTATTGTGAGCGTGTCTTGCTGTGTCACAAACAACTCCTCAGTGACACTGTTTGAGAGCTATGGGCTCCTAAATGAGGTCATTATATCTTAACTGTTTCACATCTGAACTGTGGCATTTTGTGGGGTTGTAACTGAAATTCAGTCTGGTTGGGCTGCCTCCTGCTCCCTTCCACACCTCTGGACCCAGACTCATTACTCCCTCAGGACATGGGAATCTCCATGTCTCTTCCAGTATCACACACCACTCTTCTGTTGCTCAAAATATTCAGCATGTGATGCTGTCATGCACAACCAAGAAAGAATACAGAGAGTTTAACTTTTTTCAAATAAGATTTCTAGTGGATTCCAAATATCAATCTATCTGGGGTAAACTGGCTTATCTTGGTGGAAGGAGAGAAAGCAGAGATATTTAGAGGAAATTTCTCATTCTTGAGAGTTCTTCAAAGGTGAGATCAGAGCCTATTATGTGTGTGCTACAAACACATAGTCTGGAAGTTTGTTTGTTGATAGATTGTTAAGTGATCCTTCCTGCCCACCAGGCCTGGACTCTGTGGCTCACAGGCTTCTATATAAGCAGTCTCTCAGCAGGGGGACTGTGGACTCCAAAATCACGTCAGGCTGAAAGGGCTGAGAGTGCAGAGTCTCCAAAGGAGCTGAGGCCTGAGCCCTTGGGGGATGCTGGGCTGTGTCAAGCTCAGCCTGCCCTGTCCCTGTAGAAGCAGAGAAAGTTCCAAGTCTGGCTGGAAAGAGTGAGAGGCAAATTCATACCCAGTAGGAACTCTGTAGGGAGCTGAGAGGAGGTGGTTTAAATCAGAGGAATTGGAAGGGAAAGGGGCTGGTGGCCAGAGGCACTCTGGGGGAGACAGAGGCTGGTGTGGAAAGGCCAGGCACTGAGGGAGGGGGTGGACTGAACTTAATGCTGTACCAGGGTCAGACAGCAAATGGGACCAGAAGGAGCTGAGACTGCCTCAGCCTCCTAAGCAGCTGAGAGCACTGAAAATGGGAGAAACCTGCCCCACTGGAGAGTGCTCTTGGCCTCCTGGGTCCGTGGAGTTAGTCCTTTTCACTGCTCCATTCTCTGCCAAATTGTTGAGGGCTGGGTGAAAGTTGTTGACTTGGAGATGGTGGGAAATTCCTATTGCCCTGAGATTTATAGTTGAGGGGGGTTGAGCATAGAGAACCTGAGATGGTGTGCATGAGGACAGCTGCTAATGCTGAAGAGTCCCCACTGTACAGGGAGAAAATCCACACTGCAGAGCTGAGCATTAAAGCAAAGTGTGATTAAACATCAGTGATTGTTTTTTTTTTTTGGTTTTTCTCCGGTACCGGGAACCGAACTCACGACCTTGCGCTTGCCAGGCAGGCGCTTTTGCCACTGAGCTAAATCCCCAGCCCCAAACATCAGTGATTAAAGAAGGAGAAAGTTTGTATGTACGTATATACAGGATCGTTAAGTAGTTGATCTACTCTCTTCTATTTCTTTGCTGAAAGAAACTGTTAATGAGTCCTTGATCAATGTTGCATGTCTGTATTTGTTTTCGTGAGAAACCACTTTGAAGATATCAATATGTAATACAAAAGGCATTGTTAATTTCCTAACACTTTGTAACTCTGTATTGTCTGTATTGTTCTTTTGCTATTTTGTAAAAGGTTGTCTGTCTATTAATGTTTTCTTCCTTTTATTTAAAACAACAACAACAACAACAAAAAGTATCAGTGAGGAATTGTATGGAGTGGAATAAAGAAATAGGGAGGCCTGGGGAGAAAAGAGGAAGCAACAAGCAGAGTGGCCAGCAGAGGGCTGCTGGAGCAGGGCAGCTGCACACTGAAAGGCATCAATGAATAAATAGGACCTCAGCCACATTCGCTCTTGACATCCATTTATTATCACCATGCAGTCCTTAAGGCCCGAGCTCATAGAAACCTTTCTTCTGCTTCAGAAAAGATGATCAGGAAGCCAATCTTACACCAGCTGTTAGATGTGCCCCATAGTGTTCTTAATCCAGGGCAGGAAGTAGGAGACCTTCATGAAGACTACTGGGGGTCTTCCATTATTACTTCCATAGGAGAAAATGCCATGGATCATTTTCTAACACATGAGAGGAGCCCCATAGTCCACTTGCAGGAAGAAATGGAACGTACTGAGTTTGTTTCCCACTCTTGGTGCTCTTCGAACCTCCCCACAGTGGGTGACCTCTGTCACAGGGCTGTGAGCAGAGATCAGGGCAGGATGGGCCTGGCTGCCTCCTTCTGACCAGGATACTCTAGCCTGGTGCCAAGTTTACTTTCCAGTTTTAGCTTACACGAAGCTTTCTGAGTAATCTTTACAGATTCTGTGTGATAATACCACATTAGGTTAACTGATTTTTCCCAACCTTTGCCTCCTATCCACCCAGGGAGTGGATAAAGAATACAGTGCTAGGGAACCAAGGTGCCCAAACTCTGGACTCAGGTCATGGGCATATGGCCACTGTCATCCCCCGATCAAGTTCCTCTTTCCCTGGGTTTTGTTTTTGTAGACAGAGAAAACCTCACCTTGAAATTGGTCTTTTTTCTTTCAGTCTCTCACACAAATCTCAGTTACATCAGAATACATAGGAGGCTGATTTGCATTTTCATTTGCACTGTCACCTCTACTTCCTGCAGTTTAATTCCTGAAGGGCCTGATGGAGTCATTAACCCCCAGCCTGCCACAAGGCCTGTGTCACCTGGGTTCCCCTGGGTCATGTCCTCATGCAGTCTGAGGGGTTGCACAGCCTTAGTCAGCTTGACTTTCCTCTTCATCTGGTGGGGAATAAGTGAGAGAGTCCAGATCAGCTTGTACCACAGACCCTATGCCTTTGCGAATGGACACTGAGATGGTCAAGATGGCAGTGAGGAAAAGAGTAGGGTCCCAGGGGAAAGGGGTAACCCTGCCGGAGGGGAGTGAGAGCTGCAGGAAGGTGTGCTTCACCTGCAGCAGTATGATGTCATTTGTAAATCTTATGCCCTTCTGCAGTGTCGTGTGATCATATTGATGGAAACTCTAATCAGGAATGAAAACAAGGTATTTTATTTCCATAGATTTCCCTTGGAGATCTGGGCCTTGGAGACCTATATGGAGGATAGAGAGGGAGACAATTTGGAAAGTTTTTCTACACTGCCAGTTTCACTGGGTTTTATTATTATGTTCACTGTAGATCCTGAAGTCTAGACAGTTAGAAAGCACTCCAGGAGTATTTGTTTGCTGCTTGATGGAAACCCGTGTGCTTTCCTGTCCTTCTGCAGACTGAAGCCCTTTTGAAGTTAAAAGCCTGATATAGCCCATGTGTGTCAGGGAGTCTTAGCTTTGAGGCCACCAGTGATCAACAGGGAGAGGGCGAAAGGTGCTCAGATTGCTGAGTGACCAAGGCCCCTTGAGCATATAGGAGGACACTGAGGGGTGAGGGGCCCTGCCCATGTGAGAGGTGGGGCCACGGGTTCTGATCCTACCATGATTGTCCTCCATGGCCTTGCATGGACCCACATGGAGTTCTGAGTGTCCTAAGTGGGGGGATTTGAGAATGGAACAACCTGAAACCATTGTGGCCTAGAGAGTGTAAGAGTTGGAAGATTGTGACCACTCTGAGGTGCGATAGAGAAGAATGTTCAGCCTGGTGGCTGTAAGCCAAGTTTAACCTTGGTCTTTGTGGAAAAAGGGGAAGGAAACAAATTTCAAGTGAGAATGAAAAATGACTCAGGATACCCCTCCTCCCACCATTGTCCCTAAACCTGAGGGAGAGAAATGTCCTATTCAGGAAGACCTTTCCACTACCCAGCATGATAGGGCTGAGTGGTGACCTCAGGGGTGCCTGACAGGTGTTCAGGACCCATGAAATTCCCCCCTTCCCCTCTGCCAGGTGACACACAAGGAGGCCACATGTTTACCCTGAGCCCCAGGATAAGAGCTCTGCACATTTTCTCCCAAAGGTGCCTAGGTTCAGCCCTCAAGATGGCTAGGCTGTGGAGAAACTAAAGCAGGTCAGAAGGAGCTGGTTAACAGCTCTGAGTGGAGATTTGGAAAGGTGTTGAGTAGAGCAGGAAGGGAGGAGGCAGATATTAGCAGAATTGTGTCACTGGCCTGCTTAGACCAGGTCTCCGTGAAGAGCAAACAAGAAAGCAGCCTTCTTACTGACATGAGACATTTATTTAGTTGTTGGCATCTGCCCTAGTGCAGTTCTAGACTAAGCTCCAGGAAAAATGGTTGCTCAGAGAGGGGGCTTAGTTTGCTCCTTGCAGTCTGTGGTGTTTCATGGTTTGCTTTATCCAGTCTAGAAAAGGTGAGACTTTGGTGTAGACACGTGGAGTTTTCCCTTTTGATCGTCCATAGGAGACAATGCCCTGGACCACATTATTACACATGAGGGGGCCTCCAGAGTCACCCTGTAATTAAAGAGAGAGGCTGTGAGGCAGTGCACCTTCTGGTCATGTTCCCTCTGATATCCCAAATCCCTCCTGAAGTCCTACTGGCACAGTCTGCTTCTGAGAGATGAGAGGGAAGGACAGGCCCTGGGGCCCTGAGTTGCTCAGCCCTGACTGGGGACACTGTTATTGCTCTACCTCACTCTTGAGGCAGCCTTTGTCTTTGCCCCCAGGACCTGAGACCTTATCTCTGTGGAGCTGTGTGGGACCACTGGTTTCAGGCTGCTGTTTAAAGACAGGGAGGCAGATGAGTTGGTCAGACACAGAGGAGGGAGGATGAGCTGATTGACTAAAAAGGTCAATGGGCTCTGAGGGCCAATTGGTTATAATTACTGCATACCCAGGGAACAGTTTTCTAATGCCTGTGATGTGAGCTCAGGCTTCATGTCACAAACTCATGCTTGCAGAGGGGCGCTCTTCTCCAGAGGCCCCTTGGTACAGTGATAGAAGCCCTAGTTGCCTCTCAGGCCATGCAGCTCCCTTATTCTCTTTTCAGGGAGAGTTATTTTAGCCCACTAGGAGAAGGAGCCCTGCTGCCTGGGTCCCCCAGTCCAAGATCTGTCCCAAACAGCTCTTCCCCCAAAACAAAGAGTGATAAACGTCCAGTCTTACCTTAAAGGACGTTTTTTTAATCTTTGGGTCCCCAACACACATCTCCGTAGCACTGTCATAAGCCTTTTGAAAGTGTGTCTCACACACCTTATCCTTCTGCACTGTCATCTCCACCTCCTGCAGCGTGTTTGAAGAGCTCCCGTTTGGGGCCAAAAGTCCCCATCCAGCCACCTGGCAGGGAGTACCTGGCTTCACCTGGGTCTTGTCCTTGGGCAGCATGAGAAGTTGCACTGCTTTATTCAGCTGGGCCTTTTCCTCCAGCTGAAGGGAAAGAAGTAAGAGAGTCCAGGTCAGCCTATGCCTTCTGGGTCTGGACTCTGTGATGGACTTGGTGGCTAAAAGGGAAAGCACAGGGTTCCAGTGGGAGAGGCAACCCTGTATGAGGAGAATAACAACAGCAGGAGCTGTGCCTCACCTGAAGAAGCATGATATCGTTGGTGATTTTTTCAGGATTGTAGTCTGGGTGTGGGATGGCTCTTTTTACACGTATGACCTGCTGAGTATTCTCCTGTTTCTTGATGTTGTGGGCCCCCAGTAAGACAGTTATTTCTTGATGTTGTGGCCTGCACAGAGAGAAGAGTAGGTTGAGGGATGTGGAGACACGGAAGACACATCCCACCTGGTACACTGTGGGGCTGTATATGACAGGGGGTCCACCTTGCTGAGTGACTGCACCCTCTGCTTCTTAGTAATTGAGGCTGAAATCCTGGACCTTGGGCACTAGGACTTCCCAAGGGTCAGTTACCTCCAGAAAAGCATATGAAATTTCTTTACTTTGCATTGTTATGCCAATGCATGGTCCTCGACCTAAATATATCAAGCTTGATTGCTCTGGTCTTTCTTATGTCAGCAATTCCCTCAGTGCCAGCTTTCTTGATTCCCTTTGGGACATGGCTGGCCCTTTCTCACTCTCAAAGAGTCTCCTGCTTGTACATCTCCAGGAGCTATGGGAGTTCTTTGGAGGGAGGAAATAAGAAGCATGTCCCGAGGCTGTGGGCTGTTTTGTGTTCCTCACCTCTTCGCACAGTGAGCTGCTGTCAGCACAAATTTCTCATGTATCAGGAAGCCACCACATCTTTTTACAGAGCCATTTTCCCTGATCTGAAGGAAGGCCATGTATGGACGAGAGTGGGGTTTGGCTTCATGTCCCCCGATGATCTCCCCTAAAAAGCAAGGTTGTTTGTGCAGACTGTTTGTCTGATCCTCTTTCCTAGACCTGACAGGTGCCTCAGAATTGTGCACTGGCTGCATGCGGGACCAGCTCCAGGTGGTCTGTGGAGGAAGGTTGGTAGGGCAGCGTTGATGGGATTCTCTAAAGCACAGAAGATAGAATCTGCCTGTGTGGCTCTTCCTGGAAAGCAGGGGAGCCAGGAAAGGCCTGGGGTGAAAAGTAGAGTTGGAAAAAGGGAGTAGGACTGATGAAAGGCAAAAATAGTGTTCTGAGACAGTGATTCCACGGATTCTGGGGTCACTGAGGTCTGGGCATCTCTGCTAAACTGCTGATGAGAGCAACATGTTTCCCCTGCTAGACTTGGAAGACAGGCCTATTCTACCTTGTCCAGGAGAATTTGATAATCTTTTGCTGTTACTTCTCATCATTTGCATGCACTCTGAGGAAAGACCCACTTTCCAGATGGCAAAGGTGGAGCCTGCATAGGGGAGAGTACGCACTGGCTGTTCCTGAGAAGTCTCTTGTAGCTTATCCAGTGTCCTACTTGGGGTTCTCTGGTGGGACTGGACATGAGATTCACAGCAGTACTCTAGACAGATGGATCAGGGGTGTGTAGAAGGACAGGGGACCCATGTTCTCTGTGGAGTGCCTTTGGGCTTCTGGGTAATGGAGACAGTCACTTACCTGCCATTATCCTTGGGGGCAGAAAGAAGGCCAACAGGAGCAGGAGCAGCTGCATCTTTCCAAGAAGGCTTCTGAGCTCCAAGGTTCTGAATCTTTGTGCTTGCTGTCTTTAACCCCCAGCACAGGAAGGGGGAGGAGTTGCCTCAGTGATCTTATGTTTCCCACTGATTTTGTGATGCTTCATCATGGGAGCTTTTCTAAGAAAACACCATCCTCCTAACACCTTCCCCTGATGATATCTTTTATGTGGTTTTGTAGAATGTACAGGGACCACAGCCGATGATTTAGAGCAAACCACCTGCTTGCTGTAGCCCGCAGAGTGAACTCAACACTGTAATGTGAGGACTATAGAATATGGTATTGGCCTGTACAAGCTCAGAAACCTGAGTTTCCAGTGACGGAATTATCAATGCCAGGATTTTCAGTCCACCAGGATAGTTTTGGCAGCAGATAAGCATAAGGACTCTCTCTTTTGCTCAGAGCAAGGATGTTACTGAAAGGGCTGACTGTCTGATAAAGGAGATGGAATCCCAGAATCCCAATTTCAGGAAGGTGACGGTAGACTGAGGTACTAAGCAGTAAGAAAGCTTGGCCACCATGTACTAAATTCACCCGGTGACTCTTACATCATCATAGCCTCCTCCCAAGGAAGCCTAAAGCATCTCTTATTTAATTATGAATATTCAGTGTGATGGAGTCCACCTCTTTTCTCAATATTTTAAAATAGAATTTCTGCATTTGACACTTGTTGGTCTAAATTAGCAAATTGCTGTGGGCCCGAGGAGTTCAGTCCAAGAGCTGACATAGGTTACTCTACTCCTTTGGGTAGGCTTTTGTGGATCCCAGTAGGACCACTTGAACTAAGGATGGAGGTGTTTTGGCATGTATATCTGAGCACTGATGGCTTGTCCTTAGGGCTCCTCTTCTGTGCTCTGCTTCCTGGGGTATACCAATTGAATAGCTTTACTCCATCAAGCCCTCTGTGCTAGTGTTTCTGCCTTGGAGCCAACCAACCAGGGACTGAATATCCTGTTGCTTGATGGACAGCTGTGTCTCTAAATAGTTGGCTTCTGGAGATTTAAGCGTCTTCTTTATGTGTCTGTATTTTACCTTTTTTTCTATAAGAACTATTATGCTTGAGAAGATAAAATTCCAGTGTAGGCATTTTCCTTGTCAATAGAGGAATTATCAATGTTTTTCAAATCTCTGCTTTTTTTAATTTAACTTTTCCAAAAGTACATAATTTAAAAATAAAATTATCTTTCTGATTATAGACACGATATATGCTCATTGAGAAAATTCAGAGAGTAGAAAGGAAATATAGCATTTGTCTATCTCCTACAGAGAAAAAGTACTATTAGTACATGCTTGTGCTACATAATTTTTTTTTCTTTTAAAGATAAAAGGGGGGAAACATTAACAGACATACAACATTTTACAACATATCACAAGCACAATACAGACAATACAGAGTTACAAACAAAGTGGTAGGGAATTAACAATGGTGGTTGTATTACATGTTGATATCTTCAAAGTGGCTTCTCATGAAAACAGATATAGACATGCGATACTGGTCAACCAAAGACTCATTGACAGTTTCTTTCAGCATAGGCTTGTGCTACATAATATCTACATTTATTGTAAGGAGTTGGTACCTAACACATCTTATTTATTTTTAAACTACTTCCTGTCCCTTCTCTTTTCCCTGTCTCTATCTGTTTGTCCTCTTCCTATTTGAGAAAGATCTATGTCTCTGTTTCCTACTATATATCTTTTATTTTGCTTTTTTTTTATACTTTAGGTTTCTTATATAAGAGAAACTATGTGATATTTCAGCTTGTATGAACAATTCATTTCACTTAAGATTATGGTCTCAGAGAGCATTCACTTTTCTACAAATGACTCATGTTAATCCTTCTTTATGGAAGAGTAGTTCTCCATTGTGTACAAATACCACATTTTCTTCATCCATCTATTGATGGACATACAGATTTCTTCCTAGATGCAGCTGTTATGAATTGTACAGCTGTAAACATGTGTTTGTGTGTATCATTGCAATAACATGTCGTTATCTTTTTAAGGAAGATACCTAGAAACAAAAGATCTGGGTTGAATGTAATTTTTACTTTTAGTTTTTTGTGGAATTGCTGTACTGGTTTCCACAGTCTCCCACACATGCCATAAAACTCATGTAGTAAGCATATTGTATATTTAGCACAGTGTTGTCTATACATTGTAATTTACTTTAATTCTACCCATTCTTACTGAAGCCTATAATTTAAGCACTTTAACTACATAAAATACTGATTAGTGAGTATCACCATAGTACTTGTTTCCTCATTGTATTACAAAATTAACATGCACTTAATCTCTAAAGTTGTAAATTTTTGAAACAGCAGCATAATGAAAGAGAAAACAATGAAAAACACCTGATTTTCATCTCCCATTTTAATTACCTTTAATGTCTCAAAATTTGATCTAATACATCTTTCATGTAATATTTGCATTTTTAAATTTAAAAAAAGATTATTCAAACCAAGATCGTAACCCAATTTTAAATATTTAGGTAAAGTGAGCATAATATATGTGTAGCTATTTTAAAGCCTACAGTTCAGTAGCATTTCATACACTCAAAACGTGCATCTGAATTTTAAAATGTTTCCAGCACCTCAGAACATTGTGTAAATACTAAATAATCATTCCTTGTTTCCCTTTCACAACACTGCACTGTGAATCTTTTGACTTGGTGAGTTTGCATATTACTTGTATTGCATGGTTGGATATTTTTGAAACCATTCTTCCAACCTTTGTCTTTCATCTGGCAAGTTTAAACTGTTTACTTTTAAAGTTATTACAGATCATGAAGGACTTACTTCTGAATCATGCTGCTTGCTTTTTATGTCACGTATTTTTTTGCTACTCAAGTCCGTCAATGCTGCCTTAGCATTTCTTGTAGGCTGGCACCTTATGAGACATCTGGGGATATCTCCGTTTGTTTTGTTTTTTCCTGGTGTACTAGGGACTGAACCCAGGGTCTATGAACTGAGCTCCAGTCCCATCTCCTCTGTATTTTTTATTTTGAGACAAGATTTCATTAAATTGCTGGGGCTAGACCATATGTTCCTCCTGCTGCAGACTACCAGTGTCCTGGGATTACAGGCATGTACCACAACCCATGGCTGACCCTTCATTTTTGAAGTACAACTTTTCCAGATATAGAATCCTTGGTTGACAGCTTTTTCTTTCTACTCCATAAGGACATCATCCCCCTGCTTTTGGGGCCTTATGATTTCTGATGCGAGGTCAACTGTTAATCTTATTGAGAATTACTTTTCTGGGATAAGTCACTTGTCTTCTCTTTTAATTTTAAAAACTGAAAGAATGAAACATATTAACAGATATCCATTTATGAAATACCACAAGAACAATACAGGCAATACTGAACTACAGACAAGGTGACAAAAATTAACAATGGTTGTTGTGTTACATATTGATATCTTTAAAGTGGTTACTCAGGAAAACAAATATAGACATGCAAGAATGATCAAATAATTAATCATTAACTTTTCCATTCAGTAAAGCAATAAAAGTCAGTAGGACAACTATGTTAGTTATCCTGTATATACATATATGCATAATTTCCCCCTCTTTCTTTTCTCTTTTCCCTTATCCCAGTTGCTCTTTACTTTTGAGCAGTTTCTTTTCATTTCATAATGTCTATCTTGCCTCTTAATTTTTATTCACTCTTTCAGGTTCTTACACTAGTGAGACAATATGTTGCTTACACATGTAGGTCTGATTTATTTCACGTAAGAATATGGTCTCTAGTTGTGCCCATTTACCTAAAAAGCCTCCAGTTTATCTTCCTTTATAGCTGAGTAACACTCCATTATACAAAAATGCCACAATTTTTTATCCATACCTGAGTGGATGGACATTTGGGTTGCTTCCATGATTTAGCTATTATAAATTGCACCGCTATAAACATAGGTGCACATATATCGCTGTGATATGATGTTTCCAGATGTTCTGGAAAATACCCAAAAGGGGAATAGCTGGGTTGAGTGAAACCTCTAGACCTAGTTTGCTGAGGAATCTCCAAACTGATTTCCACAGAGGTTTTCCCAGTCTGTATTCTCACCAGCAGTGGAGAGATCTCCTATCTCTTCACAGCCCCAACAGTATTTGTTATTGGTTGATTTCTTAATGATAGCCAATCTTATTGGTGTGAGATGAAATATCAGTGTTGTTTAAACTTGCATTTCTCAAGTGACTAATGATATTGAACATTTTCTCATGTATTCACTTGCCATTTGTATTTCTTTATCTGAGAAGTGTATATTCATCTCAGCTGCCCATTTTTGGACTGGGTCTTTGAATTTGGGGGGGTTGATGTTTTAAAATTCTTTATATGTTCTAGATAGAAGACCTTTGTTTGAGGGACAGCCAGCTGAAATTTTTTCCCAATTTGTGGGTTTTCTTTTTGCTCTGCTGGTGATTTGTTCAGATGTGCAAAAGTTTTCAGTAAGATAACATCCAAGTTTTTGATTCTTTGATGGATTTCCCATGCTGTTTGGTTTTTGTTCATGGACTCTCTGCCTACCCCTATTTCTTCAAGATTTTTACCTACTATATCTTCCAGGAAATTAAGTGTTTGTGTTTTAATATTTAAATCTTTGATTCATTTTGGTGCATGGTGATAGACATGGTTCTAGATTTAGTCTTTGGCATGCGGAAAGCCAGTTTTTCCAGCACCATTTATTAAAGAGGCTGTCTTTCTTCCAGTGAACTTTTTAGCACCTTTGTCAAAAATAAGTTGGCTGAATGAGTTTGTGGTTGTGGCTGCACCTTCCAGTCTGTTCCATTGATCCCCAGGTCTATTTTTCTGCTGATAGTATGCTGATTTTATCACAGTGACCTTTTAATATAATTTCAAGTCAGGATTGTGGTGCCACCTGATTTGTCTTTGTTGCCCAAGGTGGCTCTTGCTTCTGGGTCTCTGGTTCCAGATGAATTTTAGGAATGTATTCTGTAGATCTGTGAGGTATACTAATA